TGGAGACATGGAAACGCTGCTGCTTTGCAGCTGCGTTACCCTGCTCCCTCGGGCTTGGACCCCTAATAAGATTATTCTGTTTATTATCTGATTAAGAAAAATAGAATGTCTCTTTTACAGGTTAAGCCAACCTGAGGTGGCCTAAATTCAGTTCTAAGTGGAACAGAGTTTTTGTCCCTTTTAAAGGTCCATCAGAGGTCTGAGGTCCAAGACAGTTTCCTTGATTATTTCACTCAAGATGACCCCTACCTAACTATGGTTCTATGAATCCCAGATGACTGCCAGAGGTGGTTCTTTAAGCAATGAATTATCATTCTTTTGCATGCACAAATTGAGTATTTTATGTCAACAGAGTCACGTGTGACCTCTGGTGGTACTGGTGAGTCTATGTAGTCACATGACACCATAAATGGTTTGAATTTATGTAGCGTTTTATGAAGTCACTACTGACTCCAAAGCGCTTTTCACTTTAACCGTACACCGATTCACACACACATTCACACCTTCTGGTGGGGCACACTGACAGAGACAGGGCTGCAGCGCAGAGACAAAAGGTTTCCATGTCCCATAATAAATCAATCTAGCAGTATCAACGGTCTCCTGGCGACACAAAGTCTCCATCATGTCTCATAATAAATCAGTCTAACTTGCTCAAGGACACCATGACATGGACATAACAGGGAGTCGAACCTGTGACTTTCTGGTCCCAAGTTGGCTGCCCTGCCACTGCACCACAGCCCCCCCACCCAAGGAGATAGAAAGACCAACAGGGAGTACGCTGAACTGAAAATGCCTCCCTTGCAAGGGGAAGTGGAGAAACTGCCAATGGTGGAGCGCAATTAGCACATGAAAACAGGTGTTTCTTAGGTTGATTGAAGTGACCGCCTGCTGCCCAGCATCACTTCTGGGGTCCTCGCACAGGTAGCCTGAGTAGAGTACTCAAAGTCCTCAAGCACGGCTGGACCGAACATCCCTCTCGGAGCCACGTGAAGTCCCATTTGGGTCCCTTTACAGGCTTTTGTAAGAGGGAATTGCTATAGCAAAACCTGATATCGCGCTTGAACAATGGTAGAAAACGTGCACCCGATCTCCCTCAACAAAAGCATAAATGAATGCAGGGAAAAGTCCATCAATTCCTGAGTAGGTCCATCAATTGCAGCACTCTCCATCAATGCTGACAGACACAGCAAAAGATGATACAGTGAATGGCCAAGCCGCTCGAGTTGAGCAACCTAATCATAAGCCCAGCAAGAGCAAGTCATCCGTAATGCGACACTGAAGGACACCTGGCATTGGTCCTCAAAGCTTCATCTGGAGTCACAATAAGACACAATAAGGGAGGCGTTCACAGGCTCCATCAAAGGCATATGGCCCAATCCAAACTTGGGCACATCCTGAATAGCAGTCAGGGCCTTGACATCTGAGGTTGGGTGGGAAAAAAACCTTTGTATCAGTCCAGTAGGCATGCACATCCTTTACATTTTCTGCCAAGAGGAGAATCATAAGGTGGGACTTGGGTAACCTAAAAAAGGCTCTAACCACAGCCAGTTGGCTCTGTGGAGCGTAGAGCTGCAGCTGAGCAAGGGCAGTCTAAAGCTCCCACTACTAATCAATCTTCCTCTCCCCGAGAGCAGGAGGAAGTATGGGAACTGGCTGTTGACACACAAGAACCAGTATTAAACTGATTCAGAAAATGAATCCCGGATGCCACCAGGGAAACTACATCCTTATCAAAAGCAGAAGTCCCAAAACATGTCCTGCTCAGGGTCTGGCTTCCCAGCCAGACCTCTGCTATCTCTTCTCCGGAAGGTCTGAAGAAGCATCTTTATTTGAGCCAACTTTAAAGAGAGCTAGTCTACCTTCAGGGACAGGCCATCAGAGCCTTTTTTGGTCATCTTCCTTGGGGCTCAACATTTCATTGTTTGGCTCACATAGACGAGCTCAGCTAGATGTAAAGTCTGCAGCGCCAAGAGCAGAGTGGAACAGTTGAGGCAGGCTACATCAGTAAGATAGCCTCCCTTAATTGATCAATTCCCAAACAGGAGGGGCACAGATCATGCCCATCCTCCAGCTGGAGAAAGATCATTCAGTTCTTGAAGGGTCACCTCTGGCAGTCAGTAGGGATGAAATAGAACTTTCTGCTTCATTACTGTTACTGAAGACTCACCACTTGGGGCGTTTTTGGAAAATTCTACCTTCAAAAGGACTAGTCACCAGCTAGTGAGCCATCAAACCAAGATCAGAGTCAGTTTACCCTTAGCTCCTCCTTCGCAGGCATGCCTTTTAGTTGCTGTTCTCAATGATTCGGTGTCTGCCTAAATGTGTCTTCGTTTCTAGTTCTAACCATGTTTTTGGACCCACCTCAGCAGTGGTTTCAGGAGGGTCAAGCCAAGTGTTATGGTTACAGTGAGTGGGGATGGATAAAGAACTCGTATAAGGGGAGCCTCGTAACTGGGCCCTTTGCTGTCCCTATAAAGACACTAATCTTTAAACAAACCTCTGCATCCTCAATGAAGGACACAAAGATAGAAACACTGTTCTAAGATTCTCAGGATCAATAAAGAGGTCCCCATGAATTATTTTCCTTTGACTGCTCAGAGCCAGGTAGTGGACTAAGTAGTGTAAAGAGGTCTCTAATTCAATGCCACGGGCATCACACAAACCATTGTCATGGAGTCCCATCATCATTTTGTGGCGATTAGGCAGGTTGTGCCCAGTTAGGACTCCAACCTTAAAATGTGCTTAAAATTTTCCTTGTCAGGATGACAAGAGTTTTTCTAAGATTTGGGCTTTTAATCAGTTCCCATGCCAGTCTACAGTCCATCAGCTTCTTCCAGTGATTAGAGTGAGACTTGACAGTGGAAAAAGGGGATTTTGATGTAGCAAATCCATAAAACTCTCATTCCCACTGCTGTGTTGCTGCAATAAACAGTCACGCATCAATTCAACATGTTCTTGAAAAACTGTCTCGTTTTTTCATGAAAACAATTAGTTCATGTAATGCTAACCTAAAACAATATGGCCTTCGCACTTTGGTGGTTCTTGTCTGAATGTCATCACTCCATATATGGTAATTGCCATAGTGGAGGACCTATCAGGAGGCATCAACAAATATCAAAAATGTGTTTTAAAATACTTATAAGCTTAAAAAATACATTATGATTTATTTATTAGTTCTATCAAGATTTGAAGGTGTTTGGCACCCAAAAAAATAATTTTAAACTTAAGTATATTTTTGTGTTCATAGGTGATGGTGTTCAAATCCTATGACATCATGGCAGCCACAGCCAGAAGACAACCTGAAGGGTCTCTGGTTTACATAACAGACCAAACAGATCTCTATGTACGAGTTCGAGACGGAGTTCGTCAAGTTCAGGTGAAATTTTTTTCTTTTTGATTCAACGTTGTTTCAGAACACTCAAGATTGTGTTGTAAATATTTGTTATTTTTATGTTTTTAAATGTTGTTTTCTTCTGTATTTTTCAGCTGGGGAACTATATTGCTTTACCAAGTCTGCCTGTGAGTGTAGATATTAATTTTTCACAACATACATCCTGTTATAAACACACAAAATGAACACATACAACACTTTTAGGGTAATGAACTCGGAGCTGTGGAGCCACCGCCCATCGTCCCCTACTCACCGGACCTCTACAGACAACCTGTGAATCCAGTCCAACCGGATCCTCAGTATCCTCCACAGACTGACCCCAGGTACCCCAGTTACTCAGACCGCTTCAACGGAGCAGATGGTCGATATGTAGACCCTCGGTACCCAGTCACACCTCCACGGAGACCTCCACCTCCTCAGAGTCTCATCCACAGCCACAGCTCAGGACCAGCGGTGAGAAGAACCACTTTACCTCTCTATGGTCTGGTCTGAGGTGACCAGACAGAATGTGTTTATTTGGAACAACATGAAGCCTGTTATGTAGTTCAATTACATGGAACATACTATAGTTAGGACTTTTAATGTTTTAAAGGGAACCTATTATGCAAAATTCACTTTTTAAAGATTTTTTTTACTCAACTTTGGGTATGTACTTCTTAAAAAACAGTCCTAGGACCAAAAAAATGCACCCAGGGGCATATTTACTGTAAGTAAATGTATTTTTAATGTATACTGTATTAATGACAAGTTTTATACTTCCTACATTTTGTGACGTCACAAGCCGTACGACAACCCACCGCAGTCTGCGTTCAGCCCCTTTCCTAGCAACCCCTGGGTGAGGCTCCACCTCCTCAGTATAAAAAACCGTCACCGTTGTTGTTGTGCAATGTGCAGCTCATTTCACAACAAGCCTCCAATAGGGAAATGGGTAGAGTGTTGGACCAGAGAGCGGGAGACCAGGGTTCGAGACAGACATAGACACAAACAATTTATTTATTTTCGTTCGTTATGAACACGTTTTCTCATGTACCTCTATTGTTTAGCGTTAGCCTATTTGTTAGAGTTTCTGAGGTATTTTGACCGCTGCTGCTCCAATTACCTGCCCTGGTAACAGCATGCAGAGTGAGCACAGAGCAGAGGAGGGAGAAAAAAAAGAAGCTGCGACCACGACTCTGCCTCTGGGTCTCACAGGGTCTCATATGGTTGTACAACGGAGCTTCTGCTATTATTAGCCATGCTAACGTAAAAGCTGGCTTTGGAGGGCGGAGTTAATGTCAACAGATTTTTGGAGGGCGTTACCAACAGAGCTCATTAACATAAACAGCTCTTCTGAACAGAAGTCAGAGCAGGCAGAACTAGAAAATGGGAAATTTTATTATCTGGGAATTATTTTGTGCATTAAATTGAATGAACATGGTCTGGATAACCCACAGACATACCATAAAAATTTCTAGGACCCATAATTGGTCTCCTTTAAAGACTTGAATAATTTTTTATGTGACTTTGCCAACTCCCACCATTAGCCTGCTACCATGGTAGGTAGAAAGAACTGGGAATTGCTGAGTGAATGAGCGCTCCTGTACTCAGAGAAAACCCTGTTTGCCATGACACAAACAACATGCGCAACTCTAACATGAACTAGCTTGCTACATGGCTGTGACTGCCTCTCCAAACAGCCCTTTAGCCCATGACGGGTTGAAAGTGGAGTCCTACGTTCACACTGCAGGTCTTAATGCTCAGTTCCGATTTTTTGAAAAAATCTGATCTTTTTGTGTGAACGTTCACATTACATTTTAAATGTGACCTGCATCAGACTCCTGTGTGAACGCTACACAGCACTGATGTGACACACATGCGCAGTAAAAGACGTGACGTCTCATCAGCCGGCTTGTTTGTTTACAGAGCTAGCATGGATGCTACATATTACACATCGAATCGGAAGTTGTTGTTTAATCAGAGCCGATTAAATAATCCAAGCATGGTGGCATTGGAGCTTCCATGACTGGTCACAACTGAGGGCACTTCCCATAGTCCTTTTGTTTTTTTGTGTTTGTTTTTGTTTTTACAATTCTTGGTAAATAATTGTGTTATAATCTACAATTAGAGACACAAGTCATCTGTCGAATTCCACACCAGCAGCAACCTACAAACTGAATGGTTGTTTTTGTTTGCCCACAGCTCCACCTCATCGCTCTGAATAGCCCACACACAGGCTCCATGAGAGGAAATTCAGGCGCAGACTTACTGTGTTTCAACCAGGCTCAGGCCATCGGGCTGAAGGGAACGTTCCGAGCCTTCCTGTCCTCCAAACTCCAGGATATCCACAGCATCGTCCGCAGAGACGACAGAGACAATGTGCCAATAGTTAACTTGAAGGTAGCTACTTTTTTAAAGGCTGAACACTACAAAGTCTAAAAGCTCACCAACAGCTGGGCGTGAAGTCGATCACTCCGTTTTACTCACCACCTCGTGTGTGACTGTTTGCAGGATGAGGTTCTGTTTGACAACTGGAATGGCATCTTCTACAACGGCCGAATGAAGGACAACGTTTCAATCTACTCCTTTAATGGCAAGGACGTCCTCAGAGACGACACATGGTGAGACAACAATCATAAAACCTGTCAAGGCACCCCCACTGAAATAAACACAGAGACGGCCAATGACGGCACTAGGCAAGATTTTTAAAGGGATCCCCGATTGTAACATTTGACTTTATTTGATAAACATTTATTTTAACTGTAAAATAAAGACTGTAAAAATTGTGACTGCAGGCTGTTTAGTTTTGTACATTTTTTAAAACATATTTTAACACGGACAGAGCTATTTTATTTACACAAAAAGTATTCTGGGTAAATGATGACGTGGAAAGGTCATCGGTGTGAGTGAGCTATATCCACCCTGAAGGTTAATCTTGGACAATATCTGACGATTGTCTCTCTTAAATGAAACCAGAGAGCGTTGACAGAGAGGAGAAGGTAGAAATGACTCAGCCTGTAACTGAAAATGTGGATGGAGGACAACAGAGCTGCTTCATAGAAGAAGAACCTCAGCTTAGCCTGTTAGCCTTTGTTCTAGCACTGAGGCTATATTGCCTTATATTTACTAGCTCGGTGCTAGCGCAACAAACAAGCTAAACTGAGGTCCTCCATCCATATTTTCAGTTGCAGGCTGAGTCATTTTTGGGTTCCCCTCTCTGTCATGTGGTTGGAGGACCTCAGTGATGAGAGGAGAATGTGTACCACTGAGCTAATACTGTACATATATATGGTGATAGCATCGGGGCTATCACCCAGGCTATCATGGCTCTGTCAACGCTCTCTGGTTTCATTGACACAGTTGATCATTATACTCTCTTACAGAAGTTGATTTCTTTTCAACTTTCATCATCTGCAATACAAATGTTTTCCTCTTATTTGACTGATAGGTGTCAGGTTGTGAAACATGGAAGCTCTGTGTGCGGGTCTCTGCCCTGTTCCATGGGAGTTCCACAGGGTAGCATACTGGGCCCATTGCTTTTCCTATTATACATAAATGACCTTCCAAAAATATTGAAGTATTCAAATATTTTAATGTATGCTGATGATACTGTTCTTTTTTTGTCTGATTTCAATATTGAATCTATTAATAGTCAGTTACAAGCAGATCTTCAGACATTTCATGGTTGGCTTCAAGATAATCTTTTGTCAGTTAATGTTAAAAAAACTGCGTGTATTTTTCCTCACCCAGGAGACATTTCAATATAACAAATCAACTCACTTTTTTAAACAAACCCCTTGATATTGTCACTACCTACAAATATCTTGGAATTACTTTGGATTCTCATTTGACTTATCGTGACCATGTACAAGTCTTAACCACTAAGTTGAAACAGAAATTATACGTTTATTCAAAAATTAGATCCAATCTGACATCTTCTGTTTCAAATATCTATCTTCATGCCATTATACTCTCAACCATGTCATACTGTTTACCTGTTTGGTCTCTTACAACAAATGACATCTTAGAACCCATAGTAAGGCTCTACAACAGGGCCTACAAAATTCATAAAAAACTTCCTGGTTGGACTCATCACTGTACAGTTCTTTCATTGTCTGATGCCTTGACTTTTCAGAATTATGTTTTGTATAGTGGTATTAATTTATATTTTCAGATCGTCCAAGGTGCCAATTATGGAACTCTCTGTGCATTGTTGCCCAAATCAAATTCTGGAAGTGGTCATTCAACTAGATCTGTTACAAAAGGACAACTTATATTACCAACTTTTAAAAACTGTTACGGCCAGAGGTCTTTCTTCTATGTTTATACTAAAGCATGGAATGACATTCCTCAAAACATAAAGTCCATTTCAAAACTACAGCCCTTTAAGAAGAATCTTGTCTGCCATCTGCTGGACACTTTTTGTTGTGCTCATATTTAGACGTCCTATTTTGCAAATGCTGCCTTTTTGAAATTTGGTATGTTTGTTTGTCTTTGTGTCTATGGTGTAATAATGATGATGTGATTGTGATGCTGTAATTCTGAGTGTTTACCTGCTGTAAAACAGCAATTATGCTGAGTCAGGCTTGATTTTTAATAATCTTTTCCTGTTAAATAAATAAATCAAATCAAATCAATTTAAAAGAGTCAATCATCAGATATTGTCCAAGATTATCCTTCAGGGTGGATATAGCTCACTAGCAGCCTCACATCGATGACCTATTCACATCATCAGTTACCCAGAATGCTTTGTGTGCAAATAAAATGGCCCCGTCTGTATAATATATTTTTAAACTTTTAGTTTAAAAATTATAAAAACTAAACATTCTACAGTATTTTTACAGTCTTTATTTTACAGTTAAAGTATATGTTTATTAAATAAAGTCAAATGTTACAACTAATTGGGGATCCCTTTAATGGCCATTTTGTGAGGAGTGACGAACAAACTTTACAATGTAAAAAAACCTCCATAAAAGGTAACGCTTACGTCTAAGAGTAGTCAGAACGTAACATAAACTACAATTCCAACCTCTGCACAACTCAAGCAGACACAGAATGGTATAGATTGTCATTTCACACACAGCTATATGACCACAGTTGTCACAATAACCAATAAAAATATAGCGTATAACATATCTGAACAGATTTTATTAAATTTGGGCAATTAATTGTACAAACTAAAGTGGACAATGAACAACAACTCAATACTTGAGATTTATAGTACAATCAGCTGAAAATATTTTTTTCATGTTCATGTTTCTAATCTGGCAAAATTGGTTCTAAAAATCAAAACAATGGAAAAAAAATACTGGAGTCTTTCACTGACTAGTTTTTTTTAACTCTAATGTTGATGTCACTCAGCAAATCCACGTGTGGCTGACTGTTCAGGTGTTCCTAATGTTCAGTGGGTTGCACATTTTCACGTAAAGCAATGCTGTAGCTGCTGTTCTTTTCCTCCTCCAGGCCGGAGAAGATGGTGTGGCACGGCTCGACCAGCGGGGGTCAGCGGCACCTTGACAGCTACTGCGAGTCGTGGCGCGTCAGCCACCGGGCGGTGACGGGCATGGCCACGTCGCTGCAGAGCGGCGCCCTGAATCAGCAGACCTCCAGCAGCTGCTCCAGCTCCTATGTCGTGCTCTGCATCGAGAACAGCTACGTCGACCACGCCAAGAGATAAACGCACAGAAATGGAGCGATGAGCACACACACTTCTGTCTGTCTTTACACCAATTGTGATTATTATTATTTTTAAATGTTAATTTTTTTATGTTACTCTTCCTACATGGTGCTACACAGATTTCTCACACAGGCTTAAAAAGTCGAGCTCAGGTGATCAACAGCTTCTCACTCTGTTAACTGTAGCAGAAGTCTCTTAAGGGCCAAGCACACTCCATCCACAGCCCACTCCCAGTCACGTTGCGGTGGGACGTTCAGTTTTGCACTCACCTCTCGTAGTTTGAGACACACAACTCCTGCTGCTGTACACATCAGAGCACGGGTTTCTTCTTACTGGAGTTTTTACTCTGATATCCACAAATTCGTAATGGGTAGAGCGCCACACTTTTTGGTAAACGGATTCGTCCGTGTACATTGTCTGTACTCTCTCCATCCAGAGGTATTTGGCCATTTATCTATCTTTAGAAGTGTTTGGAAAAATCATTAAATCCTCTTCTCCAAGGGCATGGCTTTAAGCGCTTCACATCAATTCAGCTTTGGCCAAATGTGTCTCCAGGTTTTTGGAGTCACCTCAGCAGTGGTTCCAGGTCAAACCCAGTATTGCTCGTGAAGAATTTTGACGTCAGCTCAAGTCCAGTCAACTTTATTTATATAGCACATTTAAAAACAACTGCCGTTGACCAAAGTGCTTCTTGCAACTATTAAAACAAAGCATCACAAACAATACACAAATAATGATACACCATAAAAACAGACCAAATAAATAGGGAATAACAACTCTTATACTACATTAAAAGCTTTTGGAAATAGATGTTTTGAGATGAGATTTAAAAACTCGAAGTCTAACGGGTCTAACTCTGACGTGAAGGGGCAGCTGGTTCCACAGTTTAGCAGTGTTGTATAAAGTACCTCAAAGTGATACTTGAGTAAAAGTACAAGTATCTTTTCATAAAAATACTTTGGTCAAAGTTAAAGTCTTCTCTAAAAATATTACTTGAGTAAAAGTCTTAAAGTATCTGATATTTTTTGTACATAAGTATCAAAAGTAAATTTCTGACACAAAATCTACTTAAGTATTAAAAAGTACTGAGTAAAAGTAAGCAGTTATATTTTCCAAAATGACGTTTATTGGGAGGTGACTTCTCCAAAAAATATTTTTTTCTAACAGCGTGCAGCTGTGATGGGTTGTGTACAAGCTAATAGTGTGTCAGAATGGCATATATTTATTCTTCTCATCCAACCACAATTAAATTCACTCTATCCAGGAGACACAGTTTATCAGGATAGTATTTTTTTAAGTAATAACAACTTGGAATAAAATAGGAGTAACGACTCTATACTTCTTACCTTTTTAAAAAAATGTAGTGAGTAGAAATACAGATAATTGTGTAAAAATGTAATGAGTAAAAGTAAAAAGTACGCTGAAAAAGAATTACTCAAGTGAAGTACAGATAACCAAAATTTCTACTTAAGTACAGTAACAAAGTATTTGTACTTAGTTACTTTACAACTCTGCAGTTTAGGAGCCACAACTGAAAAGGCTCGGTCACCTCTGTGGACCGGTCTGGACTGCGGGACACACAGGGCTGCAGGAGGTCAGACAGGTATTCAGGAGCCAGTCCATTCAGAGCCTTAAAGGTCAACAATAAAACTTTTAAAATCAATTCTAAAATGAACAGGGAGCCATGAAGGGAAGCCAGCACCGGCGGTCCGGGTTAAAAGACGAGCTGTCCGTGGATTGCTGGAGCCAAGGAGGAACTTGCAAACTCTTCTGGGAGAGAGATGCAAACATTTGAATCTATCTTAGTAAACAGGCCAACAGCTTAAACTTGACAGAGCAGTCCAGAATTAGCAGGTAGTGGTAGGGTTGGGCATAATCATATCATGTGCAATTAATCGTCAGAAAAACATTAATCGATTATTATTTGGCACTTGGTGATTAACACGATTAATGCCACCAGGCAGACTGACTGGATATTTCTCCAGTCAGTCCTGTCGGTGATCCTCTCCGCTTCAAATATGACGAATATTTAAAAAAAGGTTGTGTAATTTATATATCTATCAACACAATTAAAAATTTGATGTATAGCCTGAAGTCTGTAATTTTGACACAATTTGGAACAGATTTTTATGAAGAGCAAATCTTTCCCACTAACTTGGTCATGTGACGAGGACATCAGGGACTCCAGGGGATTAATCGTCAAATTAATCGTTATCGGCTAAATACCACAATTAATCATGATTAATTTTTTGCCAATATTGCCCAACCCTAGGTAGTGGGAACAAACTGTCTGCCCGTGATTACCTGCGCACTCATAAACAGTGCTGCGACAAGCCTGAAGTCTGGCTAACAGAGTGAAGGACACACTGCCTTGGAGACACACCTGTAGTTGAGTAAACCGAGCAGACATGAAGCAGTTAGAGTGAGTCTTAACAATGGAGCAAAGGTTATAGATACTACTGACAACCGCTGCTCAGAACCAAACACGTTTGGACACACAACAGCTGACTTCTAGTTGAAGCAAAATACCACAATGTTGTCTGAGCACTTTTCTGCATAAACAAACACGCCCGTCGGAATATTCACCTATAGGAAAAAGGTTCGGCCTGGACTTTGTGTCGAGAAGTGTAAGGCGAAGCTGCTCTGTGAACAAAACGACACAATTTTTACCACACAACTTGTCATTGAGTATATCTCAGCTATATCTCAATATCTCAGCTTTGGGTTGAGTGTGCTGGGCCCTTTAGCAAATCCTAGCAGGAAGCAGCTCTGACACTTGTTTTTATCAGACTTAACCTCATCGATGAATGGGTTTTAGTTTGTCTCCTCAGTTTCTAAGACACTTCTCATTTAGTTTTCATGGGTGATGTTTTTTGACGCCAGGTTTAAGTTCTGGGTCCTTGGAAGTCACTTTGTTAGTGCAGCTTGTGGCTGGAGACATTTTGTTTCTCATTCAAGAAGCTATTTTATCAATTTGAGAAGTGAAACTTTGTCTCAGATTCAGTTTGTCAGGATTATCATGTCCTGGAGCTTTTCATGAAGCAACAGTTCCAGCATCCGACAAAGGAAAACAACACCCTGACATTTTTGTGCAACAGCCAAATTTTTAGAACTGATTGCGTCATCACCTCATCTCTAACCTAAACATCAAGCAGAAGCACATCCTCCTCTTGTATAACTTTACGACTGCAGCATTACAGGACAACACACAGGCCTGGCACACATCATTTTGTGTTGTTTTCCAGTGTTTTTGTGTGGATAAAAACAAGGCGTGTTTCTGAAGATCCTGTTTCAGAAAGGCTGCACAAAAGAAGCATTGTACATCAGTTTTCCATCAGTTACTTTTGATGTGAATCTTATTAAGTTGCCACTGATTTCTTAAATTTGCCACCAAACGCCAATTATTTTCAGCGAAATCAACATCACTTGTGATCACTAGACCCATTAGATGAGGATGAGCCACGTGAATGAACATCTGTCTCTGTTAAACTGAAAAACAGTGTTGTCTGACTGATCAAAAGCTACTGGTTGAAATAATCTGATTTATTTGTTTTTATTAACAGTGTGTGAGAGCATTTGAGAAATGTTTTTGACTTCTTTACACTGATAACCCATGGCACATGAGTATTATCTTTTCTACTTGCGCTCCAAGAGGAGATATTTTCAAACTGTTTTTTGAAGCAATAACTAAAGGACTATTTATTTTTTATAAACTGCTTTTTTTTCTACTCCAGCTATAACGTTATGACGTTAACGCTTTCACAGATGATTTAAAGTTTGTGCACACGAGCGAGCACATTAATCAAATGTATGTACAGATATCTGACAAGGATTTCAGATGTGAAAGTATTTTTTTTTTTGTAATTCACTAACAGGTCGACTGTAGCTTCTACCTTGTAATGTGAGAGCAGCAAGCTGAAATGAGACATCTGGTTGAATAAAACCAGACATGACTGAGAGAAACTGTTTTTTTTTTTTTTTTTTTTATATATATTTTTTTGTTTCCCCTTTAGTTCATGACCGAAATGCTCGTATCAAATAAGAATAAATAAAAAACAGGGAAGTTATTTAAAGGGGCAATATCATGTAAAATCAACTTTTTTGAGTTTTATATAATGTTATACTCTCATAAACATGCCCAAAGCCTTGCTTTGACTCATTCATGCATGTTTGAGAAATCCTGCAACGTTTTTAGGAAGTCATGAAGAGGAGAAAAACAGGTGGGGACCAGAAATGCCTCTGGGACGTGTCTTTAAGCCAGACTTACTCATGGAGCACCCCCACCACACACACACACACCCCGCCCATGACTCCTGCAGGCTCTCGGGTGAAACTGAATGTGAAACTGTCTGCTGAGCTCCTAACACTACTTCTCACTCAGTGAAGCCTTTTTCAGATTAAAAATACCTTTGAGGAAATGTWTTTTCAGATGCCAAGTAAACTGCATCATGGCAGCCCCCCTCTCCCCTTCGCGAGCGCGACCCCCCGGCACTGAAATGGGTGGAACAGAAGCAGAAGGGGGTTCTTAAAGAGACGGAGGCCAATTTCAAGGCGTTTAGAAGTGTAAAGCCTGAAACATACTCGCTCCGACGCCGACGGGTCGACGCGTGGTCACGTGGTTGTTCGGCAGTCGTTTTCGCACAGACCTTTCATAGTCCCTACGACACCCCCACGCCGAGTTCGGGAAACCCCCCTCCCTTCAACATACGTCACTGCATGGAGTTCCTCCGCAACAGCCGATAATGCAGAAAAAAAAGTCAGACTCGTCACTTACCCGATGTATTTATCCACATCTGTCCTGGTTAAAGCTCCACAGTTTTTATCAGTCAGATTCCTCCGTGCACAACGTCTGTTTTATCTCCATTCRTSAGTTTTTCMMGGAATGACTATCTTTATAAAACTCTACTTCCTGGTGTCGGCTCTGGAAGCGAGTCGGGGTTCCTTTTCAGTCATTTCACTCAGTACAACACAGTTGTATATGGGACACTGAAGCCACCTCTAATCACGTCTTTAGACCGGTGACGTGGTGACGTTGAACATCGGGTGACAGGCTCCGCCTTCACCCTATAAGCTTGGCGTCACCAGCGTCATTACTCAGTTCTATCGCCCTTCACCTCGCGATAGTCACCTCTAAACCTGAGCTCATATAGCTGCTGCTAGTTAGCTCAGCTTCAAAGGTTCTTAGGTTAGCTTTACTGGTGCTAACCGCGTTACTTGCTGGTTCGTGTGTCTGCCGCTCGACGCTACTTAAGTGACCTTTATTTTTCTGCTGAAAATCTGTTTTGTGGTTCACGATGAGCACAAAACCACCTCCGAAGAAGTCGAAGTCTTCTGTTCGCTCCTGTCCTCAGGGGTGCGGCTTTAAGCTTCATGAGAAGGACCAGCATGAGGCCTGCCCGGCCTGCCTAGGAATCATTCACGCTCGACGGGCGCTTGTGGAGCCCGAGTCCTGCCGGGCCTGYGCCGGACTTTTGCGTCCGACACTGGAGAGGAGATTGAAATTCCTGGAGAAAATTCTGGGGGAAACTGCTGTTTTCCAACAAGACCCGCTGCTCTCTGAATCCAGCCAGACGGCTCAGTCTGACAAAGATGAGGATTCGGCGGTCGAAGCCCCCGCTGCTAGCTGGGTAGACCAGATGGAGCACGAGGCGGCCTCACCCGACATCGAGGGGGGCGAGACCCAGTTTCTACTGGATCTAAACCAAGAGGAGGACAATGTTCTGCAGATGGAGCAGGAGGTTCTCAGTCTGTCCGAAGACGACGAGGAGCCGTGCCCAGCTCACTCCACCCCTGCTGCTAAGACGGTGGACCAGGATTCGTCCTTCTTGTCCCTGTGCCGCCGAGCTGCTCCTAAACTGGAGGTACGGTGGCCCGACCTCCCAAGCGCATCACAAACAAACATGCCCACGACCAATCAGACCAATCACACATTACCGTCAACACGGGAGGGGGGTCAAAAATTCTGCCAGCAGGTTGTGCCAAAAGGGGCTGTCGACACGACGCTGAGAAGCCCGGTGACGCAATTTTCGTCATTAAACTGCGAAAACCCGTGCCGATGTCGGCAGTTCGCAGCATGTTTCAGGCTTGAGTGATGAGAAGATAAAATTTATTTTCTATTTAAACATAAAAACAGCATTTTAATAACAGCTAAAGGTGACATAGATACTTTATTATGGTATAGTATTTAAATGTATGCCTGAGAAACACGATATTGCCCCTTTAAAACATGTACTCTTAGTAAGTTGTGCAAATTTGCACAGAAATACAGCTCTGTTAGTAACAATCAGAATATATATCAGAATCATTTGTCATTCACACACAACATCAAGATGCAGTGCAGAACAAAATTTGCAGTTTAGAACATCCGTCCGGAGAAACACACACATATGACAAACATGGGGGAATGAATGTCCAGGGTCTTTCGCAACGTAGTGTGCTACCTTTGCAGTTTAAAATACACACACATAGGAAAGATGAGTTAAAAAAAGAGCTTTGGTCTTGTGTTTTATACAGAAAACACACAAGCATATGCTCAAAAAAACTACTCTGCAGACAGCTAAGGCGGGGAGGGGAGGGGGTGGGGGGTCAAAACATATGGTAAGGGGAGGGATACAGGGAGCCGGTGACATCCAGGGCAGACTTTGTGCCGGAACTGGTCAGAAGACCTCCAGAGTCCAAACCAGTTATCAGTCAAAGCACAAGTCACCAGAGTTCAGTTCTGTCTCCATCCAATGCGGCCTTCAGACCGATCCCAGACACAGATGGAATAGGTAGGGTGGAGGGTCAAGGCTTTCTTTCACGTGTCATTCCAGGGAGGTTTTATCAGCCTGCGACCAAGATCACAGCTGTGGGAATCTAGTGATGAACATAATTATTTAGGGCAAGCAGCCTTTCTTACGCTGCTTTAAGTCTTAACTGCACCTCTGTTTTGCAAAAATGCCAATGTTCCAGATTCGTTTACCACCTCGCCTCTCCCGTATGAAACTTCACCCAGATGCAGTCTCCTCACGGGCACGCTGCCGAGCTGTGATCCTCGTCAGAACCACATGCAGTCTGCGACTTAGGGTGTATTCAGACCAGGAAAGTCCTTTGGTCTGGACCAAAAGTGGACTTTATTTTTTTTTTGTTTGGTGAAGTTTGCATTCACATTGTGCTTTTTTGCAAATGAACTATAACTTGTAAACAAAGCCATSAGGCTGACGATCATTGCTCCCATTGGACAAAAAAGGACGGGGGCGAGACTGAGCCACAGGCCCAGAAAAATAAAGGAAGTCCTGCATGTTGTGGTTCTGATGAGCACATTTATGCTGATAGTACAACTGCAATATCATTTAAAATGTCAACAGTAGCTAATTTAATATTGATTCCGTGATGATATTCTAATTTTGGAGCGACGTCAGTAAATGTGTCCCGCTACCCAAAGGAGATGAGGTGCTCTGCGTGTTCTGACCCACTACAAGCTGCCAGCAGAGCTGCTAACAGGAGACAACGAAACAGGTATGTTTTCAGTTTATTTAGCTCAGCAATGGTGGCCTGTGAAGTCCAAAAATGTGCATGTTTAATGCAGTTGGTTCGGTTAGAGTCCGGTCTGTATTCACACCAGAAGCAAACTGAAGTGAACCGCACCAGAGTTTGTTTGGAAGTGAACCGAGACCACCTCAAAAAGCAGGTCTCGGTCCGATTGTTTGATCCGCACCAGAGTTCGCATGAGTGTATTCACACCTGCACAAAAGGTCCGGACCAACGCTGGAAACAAACTCTGGTTCGTTTAAAGCAGAGAAAATTGTCAGGTCTGAATACAAACTTAAATCCCCCAGCATTTGAGTCTGTGCGTTTGCAGTACGGGAAATTCCATCCAAGGTCCCTGACAGCTTTTCACAGGCCCAAACTGCTGTCGGGATCACTTTCATTTTCTGATAGATCAGGATTCCTCCACAGCCGATCAGCAGGAATCCGATTATCATATCAATCAGTCATTGGAAACTAAAATCCGCCTCCTCTCAGAGAGTTTCACGTATCTGAACATAAAAAAACTGATCTGGGTTCTAAAACTAATCAACATTAATGTCAAGTGAACAAAAAGCCGACTGTCTGTAGAACCTCCTGAAAGATGGTAGATAATTTAGGCGTGTTCACCTTTTATGTGTTCATAACCAGTTGAATGAATGTGAAAAGAGTCATACAAACATGCAGCGCCGGGCTGAATGTAACTATATTGAGTGTTTCTGCTCTCTCCATGCGTCAGCCAGGAAACCAGGAAGTGGTGTTACCTATAACATCCTTTTCCAGGGTCAAATCCTCTTGACATGATTCCTGTTTCATCTCATGTTTCTTTTACATTCAGTCACTATGTGTTGGATATGTGTTCAGGCATGTACTGTAACTATGTATATACTGTACTTCCTTCCTGCTCTGGGTGACCATATCGTCCAGCCATCCAGACCAGTCTATACATAAAATCACCAGTTTAATCACAAACTTATTCACAGAATGGTTTATAAAACTATATCAGGTTTCACCTAAGAAAAGTCTATAAAATGTGTAGTGCTTTTTAAAAGTCTGTAGTAAACTACCCCAATAAATGTCTTCATTCCTTTAGCAGCAATAAGTTTAAGTAGTTTTGTGTCCCGCTCTTCTTCCCAGTGTTGCTTCAGTTGATGTTTTCTCAGCTCTCCAAAGATCTACCACAATAAGACTGAGGTTCTGGACTTGGACTGGAACCGTTGCAGCCCTTTCTTTTTTCTTTTTGAGCCGCTCTGTTATAGATCAGCTGCTGTGTTTGGGATCACTGGGCCTCATGCAAGAACCGTTGGTATGAACAGATTTGTTCTTAAGTTGTGCGTACAAGTGATTTAGGAAAACTTGTGTCATTCACCAATTTTCTTGTATTCTAAGATTTTTTTCAGATACGAACAAAATTCACGAGTGTCAATGTCAATTTTGTTTATATAGCACATAAAAACAACAGAAGTTGGCCAAAGTGCTTCACAGTTAAGCCAAATGAATAAAACAATTGAGCAACACATAAATGTAGACAATAAAATCAGTTTAAATACAGAAAAACATTAAAAACTTTATCATTAAAAGAATCTCAAACTCTACCAGAATGAAAGCCAGGGAGTAAAAGTGAGTTTTAAGTATAGATTTAAAAGTCTCAACAGTCTCAGCAGTCCGTATGCTAAGAGGTAAACCATTCCAAAGGTTTGGGGCAGAAACAGCAAAGGCCCGATCACCTCTAAACTTTAGCCTGGATCTGGGAACATCTAAGAGGAACTGGTTGGAGGACCGAAGTGCTCTAACTGAAGTGTGGATGTTAATGAGATCACACAGGTAGGATGGGGCCAGACCTTTTAAAGCTTTAAAAGTAAGCAATAAAATCTTAAAATTGATCCTAAGATGAACAGGAAGCCAATGGAGAGAAGCCAGAACCGGGAATGTGTTCATATTTTTTAGTTCCTGTTAAAAGAGGAGCTGCTGCATTCTGGACAACTTGTAATCGATGCAGAGAAGTTTTATCTAAACCAATATACAAAGAATTACAATAATCCAAACAAGAGTGGTCCAGACTTGTCGTATATTTTACGAGCAGTCAGTCTGCTGTTATCCAGACGGGTTTTTCTCACTAATAACTTTATATTTCATTAGTTTGAAGATATTTTGGGTTGAAAATAAATTACACTCCATGATTATGTTGACAAGAGTCTATTCAGTTTGAACTGGAATTATAATTTTATATGTAACAACATAAATTGATTAGATTAAGTTAAATTGTCTTTTAATGCTGTTGTATAACACTACAATATTAATATGAAGATCTGAAACTAAAAAACAACTTAAATTATGCATTAATTGAAGTTTGGAGATGTTTTAAAATGCTTTTTTTCAGAAACGCACCTGACATTTGTGACGGTCGGGAGGGGGTAGCGGTGGAGGGGGGTAGCGGTGCGTGACTGCTCTTCTGAATAAATGAAAACTATGTAACACAGTTGTCTACACTTAAATTAAAAATATTCGACCAAAGAAAAACCTGCCACTCTGCTGCCACTCCAGGGAAGATTGGCAGCTGTCTTGAAAACAGTATTTACCACTTGTGACTGATCTTCCTCTGCAGAATGATGGACTTCAAATAGTTCTATTTGGCATGGTGTCACTGTAAACTAAAGAGCAGCAAGAACTCTGTTTTCCTCATGGTCCCAGTGATGAGGAGGTAACACATTTAATCAGCAGCTCCTGGTTGATACTGAACCTCTGAGATCTCTGTAGCAGTGGGGCTGCAACCAGTTCATCACTCTCACATTTTTTCATTTTGGTTTAAAAAAAACATCAAGCAAAGTCTGTAGACGTTCCTGGCGTCTGAGGCACAGTACTAGCAGCGAGCGTTGAGGCTCCGCCCAGCAGCTTATAATTCAGATCGATCACTATTGAACAGAACTGACTGACGCCCACAAAGTCGCAGCACAGGATGTTGACTCCGCCCTCTCCAGGCCCCGGCCGCTGCTCGCCGGTCCAGCGGAGCAGCGGCGAGAGCCCCTCCATCGTCATGGTCTTCAGGTTCTGCAGGGGGTGGAGGATGATGTAACGAGCGTCTTCAGTCAGGTTCAGACCGCAGACGTAGAAGTGATCTGGTGAGCAAAACGCCAGCACAGTTAATAACATTTTATAAGAGATTAGCTAAAAATATAAGTTTAAGTTCATGAATCTTTAACACAATTTGTTTCACAGTCAGAAGGTGTATTCACTAAACAAAAATATAAACAACACTTTGTTTTTACTCCCATTTTTCAAGAGCTGAACTCAAAAATCTTAGACTTTTTCTATGTAAACAATAGGCCTCCTTCCTTCAAATACTGATCAGACTGTTGTGTAAATCTGTGTCGGGGGGCAGACATGATCCATCCCACCTCGCAGGTGTGGCATATCAAGATGCTGATTAGACAACATGATTATTGCACAGGTGTGCCTTAAGCTGGCCACAATGAAAGGCCACTCTTGAGATGTGCTGTTTTTTTTTTTTTTGGGGGGGTCTGAAAACCAGTCACAGCCTGTGTCTCATGGGTTGCAGCCGACGTAGACCACAGTCTGTGAGCCGCTCGTGTCGGCTGCATAAACGGCTTTAAAATGAGACGATCTAGTCTACAGAAGAGGTGTTTGCATGACCACGCTCTGCCTCATTACATGATGATGTGTTTTATATCACATCACTTCAGTTGTTTTTTCAAGGTAGAACTTCATAAAATTCAGTTTTAATAGAAAAACATTATAAGTAAATAAATAAAAAGCATTAATAATTTGGGTTTAGCTCCAGTATCAGTACTTGTAACTGCATTTATTTAACATCTCATTGCAACAAAAGTTTCTTCAGCTAAGTTGTTTAACTTACATTTTTCAGTCCATGATCAATTTTTAAAGTTGGTCATTGAAAAAACATCTGCCTTAAAATAAAAAGACAACCCTAGCCGTCTTTGTTTTTCTGTTTAATTTGCTGAGGCTGCAATAAATTCTGGGATACTGTCGGCTACTTTGGATACTCAGATACAGCCGATATTTTCGAGGTACTGTCTGCAGCTTGTGTAGGTGCCGACAACAAACGCGGCCAATGTCAGCTGCAACCCAGCCAGTATCTGGTGTGACCACCACAGTGCTGGCTC